AATTAAAATTTTATATAAATATAATATATAAATTTTATAGATAAATAAATCTTTACTCCCTTTTAATATATGGTACACAGTCTAACATATTTGGCAGTAGAAAATGATAGATGTAAGGTATCTTTTTTTTTTGGAGGGGGGCGGGAGGTAAAATTCTTCTTTCGTTTTTATTCTCTTTGACATGGGACACTATTATTTTCAACCTTCATTTTGTGCCGCAATCCATCTCTAACTTTTTTATTAATGTCAATTATTGGTCATTCCATTATAGAAATGTTTAGTGCACTCTGAATCATGCTTGGTTATTTTAAATTAATCTTTAAATAGATAACAAATTTTTTAATATTAGAGACAATCTTTCTATGTAATAGTTTATATATATATTTTAATGTAATTTAAACTGCAAAAAAAATGAGACTCATTCCCTTAATTTTAACGAAAAATAAAACTACGGCAAATGATAGGGCCCTTAATGAGTCCATCGGATAGGAAAAATGCTTGCATGCCATCTTTTTTTCTCATCCATATTACATAGTAGTCCCACTTAAAGGATATATTGGGGGCTCCACTACTCATCACATTATCATTTTTTTAAGATTTAACGGTTAGGTTGACGGCAAAACCAAATTTAGACATTTTCCAAAAGGTTAAGGACTATTAGTGGCACCATTTGAAAGTTAGGGTTAACAATCATATAGATTCTAACCTTTAAATCCATATCTAAGGGGCACAATTGAGTTAGAAATTTTATGTGCAAAAACTTTGCCAGAATTGACATATATATAGTGGCACAAATGAGTTTAGAAACTAAATGTGCAAAAACTTTGCTGGAATTGACATATATATATATATATATATAGTACTAACTTTACTTTGATATGGATTTAAAGGTTCGAATCTATATAATTGTGAAGTGGTTAAGGTTATCTCTATAAGGGCAAAGAAATGATGTGTCAACAAACAACTAACTGTCTGTATATGACAACTAACAACTCATCAATGTTTTTACCTAAGAAAAAAAAGATGGAGAAAAACTCAATGATGAAAAATTAATAATGTGGGCCAAGGGGGTTGCCCCAAAAATAGGGAAAATTCCAAAACTTTCTTTTGATAGCCCTCATAAAAGAAAATCCAAATCTAATTTAGCCCTAGTATCAATTATCAATCAACTATTAGTTATTTGTCATCAAAAATAATAATTATTAATTATTGACCAAGCCTTTAGTCTCTTTCTAATAAGAGTTATTGTAATTGTGACTTTGTAATTTAAGTCAAGAGTATAATAAATATATTTTGTTAGTTACTAATTAAATTATTTATAAAAGTACAAAAATTAACATTAATTTTAGTATTAATTTTACATGTATAATTTTAATTAATAAATTAATTGATAAAATTAAAACTAACTTTTATTTTTCATATAATAACTTTAAAATACATTTATTTGACTCTTAATTTGAGTATATATATCTTAGAAAAACTTATAAAACTATGGCAGCATGTAGTAACTAGTTTTGCATTAACTCCAATAAATTTATGCATAGGTCCACTATCAATCCGTTGAAAGTCACATACCATGTGAACTATTTTCCAAAATCCTTTTCCTACCAGACAATGGTAAATCCTCCCAAAAAAACTTTAGAGACGCCCATTAAATGCACTCAAAATCTCCTCCTGCCAGCTAGTTGGGGGGTGGGGGCAGAAAAATATTGGGTAATTGGTAAACATCGCATGGACCATCCCAAATTGCAAGCTTGTGTGTTTTCAATTCCATCTGTAGCATACAGATCAGTTCTTGTCATTGCCTTCTTTTTCTAGCTTCATTAATGTCTTCCCCAATCTAAATGTGTATGAATCTAATGGCTGTGCTTCTTGGATTGAGCTACTTTTGGCCTTTAATGGCATCCCCCATTGGACCACACATCCTCATGGAGGGACCCATTTTTCCTTGCTTGATAGTGATTTTATTTGTTTGATTAGGGTTCATGGATTATTTCTGATGTTGATGCCGGAGAAATAAGGCTCATACAATTCTAAACTACAATTAGGAAGAATGGCAAAAAAACGAGAATGGTAAGATTCTAAGTAGTACAAAGCACGAGGTCGAGCTTAAGCTTGATTTGGGTGTATCAAAATTTTATTTTTTTAAAAAAATTTATACTTGAGCTCAACTAGTTTAGTTTAAGAAGTAAACGACTTGAGGCAAAATAAATTTCTTAATAATTGTGGTTGTCTTGCTTTGTAGATCATTTGCTTTCATAGTGATTACTCTGTGTCCCAAAACAATTGTTGTTTTTTTATTAAATATATCTTAATTAATTTTTTTAAGATAAATAAATATTTTTTTAGTTTAATTTTATCATTATTCATTAATTTTAATTAATCATCTAATCATAAAAAATCCTTTTTTGTCTTTTATTTTTTAAAGGGTATTATAAATAATATAAATATTGTTTCTAAATTTTTAATTTAGAGAAAAAGTAAAAAAATAATAATCATTTTATAATAGAGGGAGTAGTATCCATTAACAATCTATAGGGGCTGGATGTATAAAATTAATTTGAAAATGGGCTTTTGACCCGAAAAAGAATTTGGGCTCATTTTGTTAAATTTATCGTAAATTTATGTAAGATTGAACATCTAAAAGAACAAGCCTAAAATTGGAAGGGCCCAATCATGTCAAGCAAATTGGGCCAATTTCTTGGATCAGTAGCACAATACAAAGTTACAAACTAATGCAACATCCGGGTTTGTAAGCTAATGCAATTTCTACGAAGAGTGTTGCAAGCAATTCCGACTCCAATTGTCATGAATACCAACAGTCATTTATCTTTCATTAATCATAGTTAATGCCTTTGTGAATCAAATTACTAACACTTTATATATATGTATATATATATATCTAATACAAATTTCAATTCCAAGTGCATATTAATCATAGTTAATGCCTTTGTGAATCAAATTACTAACACTTTATATATATATATATATATATATATATCTAATACAAATTTCAATTCCAAGTGCATATAAATAATGCAATCATAAATCAATAGTATTTGTGACAAAAATTGAAATTTTTATAATTTTGAAATTATAAACTTAACTCATATATGTAACAAGATTTTCTCAAATATTTTTAATGTTTGTACTATACTTAAGTTGAGATATTTGTACTGTGTATAATTTGTACATTATGTTCATACTCTACTCTTTATCAAAAAAAAATAAAACCATCAACTAATAGATAACAATACTAAATTTTACATATTATTACTAGTTTGGATGACAATCTATAGAAGACAAAATCAAAATCTAAAACATAAAAGAGCAAATCTCCATCTTAACCATCAATATAGCAGACGATAGTACTTCTGAATTATATATAATGTGATGAGGCTGTGACATATTCCTCCCATTATTAATTTGGATAATCGGGTCCATGTAAACAAAAGGGGGACAAACTCCGGCGTGTAATATGGATTGAGACATGGTGTTAAAATCAGAATTGTTCAAGAACAAGTTTGCGCATGAAGCCTTCCGGAGCTGCAACGCAACAGAGGAATTTTTGAAAGATGATGAGCCATAAAATTGTTTTGTTAAGTATAAATCTTTTCTAAGTGAATTAATTATGAATTTGATTATGAGGCAGATATATCTGTACCTAAGCCACCGGTGAACAGCTTGAATTGGCCAAGAGCCTGCCTGAGGAACATCTCAACTCCACTCACAACAATGGCTCCAACCTCCGCAGCCTCTTTCAACAATCTTGTGTTTTTAGGCGTGTAAACCGCGTCGAAAACCAGCTCGTATGCTTTCAAGGACTCCTGAACAAACAATGAAAATGTTTGAGAAATGATCAGTGAATATGCAATCTTTGAATTGAGAGAAGGAGAAGGTACCTTTGGGATAGGACTTTGGTGTGAATTTGGATCCATTCCAATTGCAGAAGAATTTGCAAGGATCATCCCTTTTTCCGGGCAGAATTTCTCTAGACATTCATAGGGTAGAGCTTCTCCAGAGACTGCATCCGCTAGAGATTTTGCTCTTTCTGTTTGAACCATCAAAAAAAAGCTTCACATTTAATTGAAGCACCCTAAGAAGGGCTGTTGAACAAGAAGAGGGATAATTTGATGTCTTCATCTAACAAGCTAGTCTTTATCGTTGATGACACCTAACTGTTTTAACTCTCTAAAATGAAAAATTATGAAGACTTCCAATTCTAGTTTCCTTACCATAATTGCGGTTAAAAATGAAAACCCGAGCTCCTCTTCCTTTGGCCCCAAAAGCTAGTGCTCTTCCAGCACCTCCTGCTCCAACCAACACAAATATTTTCCCATAAAGGGGAGAAGTCTGTGCTCCATTGCCAGTAAACTTTCTTTCTGTTCATCCCATAAAGGAAATAAGAATTTTTTTTTCCCGGTGGCTCCTATTTTCTGAAACAATGTGGACAGAAATATGACTATGATATCAAATATTTAAGAGAAGTATAGTCTTTTGGTACCTCTGAGTGCATCCTCTATGGCAGAAATGGAAGCCTCACAATCTGTGTTATAACCAACCAGCTTGCCATCCAGGGGCCTCCTTATAATAGTATTTACAGCACCTATCGACTGATTGAAACAAGAAACTTCGTCCACTTTTAGTCCCAGTTGTTACATATCCAAATGTGCTGAATATTTATAAGATTACCTTAGCCATGGGATGGACCTCATCACAGCATGTCACTGCTGCTTCCTTGTGTGGAATTCCAACACTACAAAAATTTAGATGGATTTGAAAACTTGAAGGAAGAAAAATAAGCTAAAAAATTTAAACAGATGTACATATGTATATACCTGAATCCTGCATAGTCTGAGCATATATAGGTTTTAAAGAACTTCTTGATGTCATCAACAAGCATCGGAACATAGATTCCATCGTAACCAGTGTGTCTGAAGGTAGGGTTATGGAGGAGAGGGCCTTTACTGTGGCCTACTGGATTTGAGATTAGGCCAAAAACTTTGGTATTCGGATTGACATGTTCAAGCTTGTATACTTGTCTAAGGCTGGCAATAGTTGGCAAGCCAGGCACTGGTTTTTCCTCAAGAGATCCATATACTAAGAATCCACCATATTTTGGCCCTAGAAGTTGGCTTATAAGACCTCTGCTGCCCACTGCCACAGCAATCAACGGCACCTAGTGTTCATCAAAATAAGCAATAAGTTCCGAATGCCAATGTTATTACAATAAAGTTAATTCTAGAATGGTGCTTAGCAGAGTGTCTCAATTGATAAAAGTTTGGCATTCAATTAAGTTAATTGTTCAGATTCAAACCTTAAGATATGTGGGGAGGACTATGATTATTATATATTTTATCATCAGATTAAGAAAAATAAATAAATCTTGTAAAAATTGGGAGATTCCTATGAAGAGACCTGGCAATGGGTAAGCATAGTAAAAATTGGAGGTATATCTGTGATAAAATCCACTGCGATTTCAAGCTTGATGACATCTGCTCCTGTGGACTGCATTAGTGCAACTAAATCACCGAGTTTCTCAGTTGATGGCCTCTCACCGTTGAAATAGCTTGATACAATTATTTTGCTTTTTGAACGTTTGTACATGAATGCCATGTTTGCATCCAAAGCTACCTGCAAATTGTCATGTTAGCTGGTGAACAAAATCCAAATTAGAGAAATGGGTACTGTGGGTTGGGGGTTTTGTTGGGGCACCTCATAGTCCATTTCTACGAATTCCACATCTAACTCCAATGCCCTTTTCAGAACTTGCAGGCAAGTTGTCTTACAGCCACCCTTGGTGATCCTAGGAGAGTTAAGCCTGTAAAATTGCCAACTTTAGAATCTCAATGTGGATGAAACAATAAGTAAACAAAGTCCCATTTTATTCATTCACGCGAACCAGTATCTGGGATTCTAGATTCACCTTTGCTTCATTTTAAAGATACTTTTTAT